ACACAGATCATGCGTGGAGACTATGAGTTTGACTCTCCCTACTGGTACGTTACATTGCTGCTAGTGCAGCCTATGAAACTCCTTGTTCGCCTGGTAGTTGTGTTGCCTTGCTCACTGAGCATAGTCCAGCCGTGCCCTTCCCTTCCCCCCTACCCCGCCTATCCTTTGCAAATTGGAGCAATGATGCCATCACAGGGGCGGATCCTGAGATCTCTACAGGGGGTTTCCACTTCCAGTTTAGCAAGAACTGAATAGCTAATACTGATGTACATGTACACGCATATATTTGCAAAATGTTGGGGGTCCCCCCCCCCCACCCCCCCCCCCCCCCCCCCACTTCCCGAATCCGCCCCTGCACAATGTCAGGAGACTGCTGTAAAATCACCAGGGCCCTGAATCATTACACCTGCACACATATCGGTTGCTGTAGCCTCCAAACCTTTCAGGTTGCAGCTCAGCCTTGGGGCCATACCAGGTAGCGGACATACAGTAAGCAAGGCCAGTTGACCTATGTAAACTATAGGACTGTCACTACATCCAGAGCTCACCAGCAGTGAGTGGGATCCCATGTGTCATTGCACACATAATGTCATGCAGGGAAGTACCCAATACCCTAGCTTTCATTTGGGTTTTTTCTAGCGTAGGGTGATTCTGAACACAAGTATCCGGCTGCGCCCATACTGCCCTGATAGGTCATTGCATTCCGCAATGACCTATCACGGCTAACACATTACATGCAATGTGGTCAGCAGTGTCCTGGTGTCCATATTGTGATGGTGCAGACTAGACACAATGAAGTGCTTCACACAGACACGTTTACATGCTCACACACACCTTGACCTTGATCTTGCCCATTGCGTACGCAATGATAGCGAATGTCGGAAAGTTCAAGTGAGGACACAAGCGCAGAACTTGGCATGTCGTTTCAGGTCTCCTGGTCGACGAAACGGGCGTCCACAGACACATAGAAGAGGATCAGGAGGGGGCCGTGGCGGTGGAGTGCTACTCTCAACTCATCTCCAGCCGGGACGATCTTGGCAACTCTCAAGCCAGGTGGTCACGCCGAGGTCCACCAGGTCAGTCGACACCACATCTCGCCACCTCTTCTTCGGGCCGTGACGAGGACGGGGGGCAGGCAGCTCGCCGAACAGCAATTGCTTCGGTGCGCGCGAGTCGTCCAACCTGCCGACGTGACCCAGCCAACGAAGCCGGTGGCGACGGATGATGCTGGTGATGTCAGGGTCAACACCGAATGTAGCCGCTAATGTGGCCGTTGAGATCCGATCATCCCACTGTTGACGACGGCCGATACCCACGATGGACCGAACACACTGATGGTGAAACGTGTTTAGCTTCTGGAGGTGGCCTGCCTTGGTGGTCCACGTCTCCGCACCATACAAGATGCTGCTAACAATTGTTCCGTTCGTTGGGCTGCAGTCCGCAAGTTGCAGACGCTCTCACACACACACACACACACACACACACACACACACACACACACACACACACACACACACACACACACGCACACACACGCACACACACACACACACACACACACTCTCTCTCTATCTCTCTCTCTCTCTCTCTCTCTCTCTCTCTCTCTCTGTGGGGGTCTCTATCTCTCCATATTCAATGTAGATGATGTATTAAGTGCATGATCTGCTCCACTGTTAAAAAGATGTTTTGTTTCTGCTGTTACATACAGTACAGGTCAGTTTAGCCTCACAAGTTGCACTGACCACACTCTATTGTCTTTCTGTTTCATGCATCTCCTAATCTTCTCGATTGCCGCGTCATGGACAATACAGGGACAATATCTCAGATTCGGGTGAGTTTATTTCCACAGGCCAGTGAGCAATCAACCAGGTTGAACCACTAGTAGTTACTGCTAGATGGAGGCTCTGCACACGTTATTCCCGGTTTAGAATGTTCTGAGCTTCTATCTGTATCAGCTGGTAAAGTGCTCATACTATCCTCCAGTCAGTCCCAGGTTGGCAGTGGATGTACATGTACCGTATTTTCCCGATTAATAAGTCGCACCCCCATTTTCAGGTTTGAACTGTATTTTGATATATTGACTTGAGTAGTAAGTTATGCTCGATTGTAAGTCGCACCCCTTTTTACCCTTGAGTTTTAGTGTAAAAAGGTACGATATTCGGGAAATACGGTATTCTCATTTTAAAAAGTTATGTTACGAAACATGTCGTAATATCTTCAAAGTACTTGTGCATGTACACGTTTCTTTCTAGACTGGTGTAAATGCTATGGTGTAGCCTGACTGGTTTGTGTTGTGTCTTAACTGTGGGATCTGTTTGCTGTTCCCGCGATACACAGCGAAGGAGTACATCCGCCACATGCTAACCGTAGATGCGCGCAAGAGATGCGACTGTAACGAGGCACTCGCTCACCCGTGGTAAGCCATCATTGCCGCTGAGTCAAGTGGCGAATGATTGTGTTCCCAGTGTATCCATGCTGTTACTGGTAGGTGATTGTCGTGCTGTTTGTGTTTGACAGGGAGCGTAGCCCACATCACACGCCCCGGCAACAGTCCAACCTCTTCCCAGCCTGCAACCTAGCACTCTTGATCTTCCCTTACCTTATAATGATGCGGTAACACACTGTTTCGGAGACAAAATTCACGCCATCACCCGGTACCCATGCATGCCAGGAACTGTTCGGGATGCATCCCAAGCTATTGATATTGTTAAAGTCACACAAGTTTAAAGTTACAGCGTAAAGGCTAGCTGCTCTGTAGCTTAGTTGACAGTGATGCTTTTCCCTGACATCTTTGTCACTTTGCTGTTAGGGTTGGAGGAGATACTGCCAAGAGCGATAACATTGCTTCTCAAGTCACCGAGAAACTGAAGAAGAACTTTGCCAAGGAGAGATGGAAGGTGAGTAAGCTGGATGACATGCCATGCTACTCCGGCTGGCAGGATGTTTACTCAATGCTGCTCATTGGATGCCGTGTATCACAGCCTTCACAGGTGACTCTGGCTGCTTCAATATCCTCCCTGCTACTAAGTGGAATGGTATCCAATACATGTATCCATAGAGCTTGGTTACTCTCGGAAACTGGTGGATAAGATTGGAATCATACTTTTAAAATATCCGGCTTATCTCGGCTGTTGTGACAACCTAGCTGATCAGTTCTGAATAGAATGATAGACCAGTGCATATTGCTGTCTGAGTGTAAATTTCCTTTGCTTCCCATCCTGCTGTGCGTTGACGAACAGGGAGCAATCCATGCCACCCAGGCCATAGTTCGAATGCAGAAGGTTCTGGGTGGAGCTGGCCGAAGCGACGCAGCCGAGCAGAGCGGAGAGGAACCTGCAGCAGCCAGTGCATCCCCGTCAGATGACTTTACGACCGACTCTGAGAGACTGCGTCGCATGATGGAAGGCACTGCATTGTAGGTTACGTATAGAAAGCTTTGTCCTCGCTTCCGGCTGTATCCTCTCTGTGCCGCTTCCACCAGCTACCTCAGTTGGCGGGTGCCGAGCAACTCTTTCTCATCATTGCTGTCTTGCCTACACTTGTCGCTGGTATGGGCAAAGAAATCCTAGGAGGGCATGACGCCATCGTGCAGCTGTCATTAGAGCTTCAACTGTGGATGCACGCGGCCACTCGGTCGTTGAGAGCGCGGTTAGGGTGTGTACTATCCCTCATCCATCTGTCTGTTTTTCTGTCTCCCCTCGAATGTCAGTGTTTCCTTTAGCATTGCGCACTAACGGATATACAGCATTCTCAACATACCTGTGCAGATTCTGTGTGTGTGTGTGTGTGTGTGTGTGTGTGTGTGTGTGTGTGTGCGTGTGTGTGTGTGTGTGTGTGCGTAGCGCTGTTCGCCATTGTTGCATTGTCATGTATAATAAGCGTACCCATCAATGTCTGGTGTATATTTGCCATTTTAATATTATTGCAATTGCTGTAGTGTTTTGCAATATGTAGGCTTCATTCGGGGTGCGGCCATCTCATCAATTAGCACTACTGACCAATAGCACATTGTAACAAACTTGCTCAGGGCATGGGAAATTTCCCTCATGCACCTATTCTAATACCCATCCTTCATATTCAGCATTCCTGCTCAACACTACTTGAAGTTGTGACCGAGTAATTCCCCTGCATTAGTTAGCACACCGGCAACTGTGCAATGCCACCCCTTCTCGGTTTAGGAATGTCTCAATTTTAGAAGCCGATTGTTTTTCTTGTCAGTCTAGATCTGTGGCACCGTGCACTGGTGAATTGTGCACGGCTAGTGATGCCGTTTGTGTGCAACAGGTCCTCTTGTTTGTTCGTGTGCAACATGCCGACCATGTGGACGCGCGGGACATGTCCGTGTGTATTGCTGCCGGTGCGTTGTGTGCAGTGAGGGGGCTACATGGGCTGCTAACCTTCAAGCTGCAGTCAAATGACGCAATGTTTTACAACTTTTACTCCAGGGTCGTCTTGGTGAACACAGTCAAACTGCGGCATGTCACCGATTCGCAAATTAGACTGTGCTTACAAAGTGGTGTCGAGACTTTTTAGTTAAGTTTTTACCACATGTAATAGCCTAGGTAAAACTAAAGCAGGTGGGGGTTGAAGTCATGCCTGGAGAGGCGAGATATCGCATATGTATCATTTTTTATCCAGCTTTAACCAAACGCTGCTGCATCCGCCGTGTTCGGTGTGCCACTGGGTCCCGGCTGTATTGCAAACCACTTTGTACATGCTTCGCCACGCGCCATTGCCATTGTATCATTCAACCCACAGGGATGGAGAAAAACTTGGTTCATAGTATGCACCCAGGAACCAGGTTATGCCGCTATATTGGCTGCAAAGCAGTGCATGGTTTACTGCTGTGGGCTGACACTTCTGCATGTAGTCTGGATTGCACCCGTGGACCACTTCGAATGCACTCCGGGCGACGGTCGTGCAACCACACAACAACAGTCAGCGACCGGCCTACAATGTACACAAGCAACAACTCTTTGGAAGAACGACCCATGGAAATACCAATACACCACCTACCTGCAAGCCTCGTACACGGACATGCACACATGCAGATGCACACACATACACACACACACACACACGACCAACACGGTCGATGAAAGGACACAGTGTGCTGCGGGAATATAATCTATAATTATTCCTACACCTTACATGCATTCTCAAATTCAAATAAAACACGATCTAACCGAGGAAAGAGCCACAAAGCAATACAGTACAACAGCTGACCTAGCAAGGCAAATACTGCGTAGCATAGCAGCACTTGGTCATACCCAGATGATTATGTGAACAGACACGCATAAGTTACAGCACACAAAAACAACTGCTAATTGAAAAAGCCATAATTAACACGTGCAATTCGCAAGCGCTACGGCGGAAATCTTATTTAAATAGGGCGACCATAAAGTGCAACAACATATTTACAGCCGTGTTGTATGTACACACCACAATGTAACGATGCAGTGGATAAGCAAGTCTCTACCAGAGCCGGTGCCGGGGACACGCACCCGAGCGCATACGACACGACCCGAAAATTGCACCCCGATTCGATTTCCGGCGCAGAAATGTGTCCGGCAATGTGGTAGCAGAAATATATTCATTGACAAGACGTACAACAGGTGTGGGATACGGCGGCCCTGCATTATCAGGCTAATAACTGCAAAACCGGTTCAGCGAAGTAATGCAAGGTCCGACTTCTACACGAGACAAAATCCTATTTACCTAGATTGAGGTAGCACTTGGCAGCGTTGACATACCACTCGATCAGGCTTTCGTCCTTGGTCGGCTCGCCGCCCGTTCCCGGCCAAGGCGGGTCATACGTGGCCTCGGGGAAGTCAACGCCGCCTAGCTTGTCGAGCTTGTCGTGCCATATTTGCCGCGGGAAGCGATCAAGACCATACTCCTTGCGCCGCTCTTCCCATTCCCGGTCCTCCTTCAGGACTTCTTCATAGGCGTGGTGACGCGCCCACATGGCCAGCCTAATCAACAAGTCGTAGGGGAGTAGTAAAGGCAAAGGCAGCACAGAAAACAATTCCAGGCATCTGTCGAACTCAATGCACACACATACTCGGCACGAAAACATCAGCTACATGTAAAAGACCAGGCCCAGGTTGAAAACCCATGCGCTGCATCCGCTTGTGCCGCTCTTTCTGCAATCTTGTGTCCAGTACAATGGCATCATACTCAGCTCAGCCAGTAGGACACTAGATCTATGTTGTTCCAGTGTTGCACCCCGGTGAGTAGTGGGTGCATGCATAATCTGCAGAGCTTGCACGGCCACGCATATGGTGTTCATTAGCCCAATCTCTCCTGGACATTCGGAATAGTCAACTGCTCATCCATACTTCACGTGATCATGGTGATGGCTCTCTGATTGGCACATCACTAATAAAATGGCTAAAGAAACCTGGACCAAGCCGGCAATTCCAGTGTTGCAAAGGACGGATTCATGACCAGGATTAGAAACCAGCATTGCTGTCTTTCCGCGACAGTCCCCTACTCCTGGATGCCATATTTGCACCTGCATACCCGTGGCACTTTCTTACTCACACAATGTACAATGTACTAGTCCCCCTCTCTAAAGGCTGAATCTTATGTCATGGGTTCCAGTCCGGCATACTAGTACACAGGCATCGATGTTGCGAAAGTGATCTTTGGATGGATGGGATTCGAACCCAGCACACCTGATCTCTGAGACGGCCGTGTCCTGCCAGATAGGCTACCATTGATTCCACAGACCCGCCCCTCTCCCTCCTCCTCCTCCCCCCCCCCCCCCCCTCCCTCCCTCCCTCTCTCTCTCTCTCTCTCTCTCTAACTTCAGCCAGTACCATACAGCCTGGCTACACGGAAAGTTCAAACCTGTGGAGCCACGGTCCCCGGTACTCCCCTGGCATGACAATCAGGATACTGACCAACTATGTGCAGTGCATGCACAGTAGGTGTGCAGCGAGTACGCTGTTATTATTTTTATTTTACTTCATCAAGCGAACAGGCACTGATGCCTTCTCACCCGCAGTCAAGGGCTGACACACAGAATGATGAAAAATCGTAACATCCCCCTTCCCTCTCAACATTTCACTGGTAGGAACAACTGTACAGCTTCTTCTGGTTTTTTATTTTCCTTTGTTTTCTTTTTCCTTTTAACTATAGTACGTGTACATGACGTGATGGTGTAGCCACTGGCATGTGCTTACTTGTACCGTGGAGCATACCAGACGTAGAACAGATACGACACTGGCGGAATACACCCGGTGACGATATACCATAGCGCTGACGAGCTCTGCGGGTCTCGTCTTACCTCGCCAGCTTTCAGTGCCTGTTGCAGAATGCATTAACGCCATCGCAAAGGCAGCAAACAAAATCATTATAGCAATGCCAAACAGCGTACTGGTACATGTGTACATGTAATAATTGAAAACATTCTTTTTCCAACATAACGATTTAGGAACAGTGCGATTCCCAGCTTCCGTGGCAATTTACAATCAACAATACAAAGCAACATTGCAACTCCTCGCCATGTTCATCAAGATCGACACAAGGTAAAAACAAAAACAAGACGCAGATCTTTTCTTCCTTACCCGACGATTGTGTTTGAAGCCTTTCGGCTTGTCTGCTCTGATGATGATGGGACGGGCGGTTTTCGCCCAACGCCGCACAATCCAACTGCTCATGGCAGTAGAGGCTACATCAACAGCGGCTAGCTGTTCGCCTCCACTCCGCCACACTGCCCCGGACGATCTAGCAGCTAGAACAACCTTTGAAATCCTCCTGTTCTCTTCTACACTCGAGCTCTATTATTTTTCAGTCACGGAGCAAGGAAGGAGGCCGTGTACGGTGTAGACCATGGTGGACTGACTGACTGTGTAGCATATTTCACCATGACCGGGGCACTACAAAAAAATGTAACTCGTGAACCGATTGTTTTTTCGCGGCGTCGCGGGCCAGGCCATAGACTAGTACGAGTAGCTAGCACCACCATCCGCGCTAGCGTGTCATGCCAAGCCACGAGTCACGACCGCGCCTTGCGCAGGATAGCGCATATCAACCGCCGCACCGCGTACCGGCGCGTTCAATATTTTTTAGCAGCGCTAGCGCTGCCGCGAAAATGACGTCAGTTGAAAGTTCAGGCTTATGCGAGGCGCGGGATCGCGGGAATCCAGGCAAGATTTGAATCACAGCTATGGTGCTCACTGCTCGTACAGTCGTAGCGTGGGCTGGAGTAGCTTTGTGCACCCACGCTGAACTACTACATTGTAGTAGCTTTCCATCATGCCGGACAATGTTGCTTGAGGATTCCCCTTGCATCTAGATCTCCATCATGTGTTTGTGCCGACAGTAACCGAGAAGGGCTCGTCCAGTCACTGGCTACTTAGAAAAGCGCTTGTTTGAACGTTACTGTTGTAGTCGTTCTGCTGCAAATGTTTGAAGTACATGACTAGTTGAACGCTGCTGAGCTGCATGAAATCGAAAAGGCAGTAAACAAAACCCTGTTAGGAAGATCAAGCGACTGTAATACGGGCAGACGATGCCATCATCTCGGAAACCTAAGAGAAAAAGGAAAGAGGATGAGGAGCCTGAATACGAAGTGGAACACCTCGTTGCTCACAGGGTGGAGCCTGAAGTAAGCCCTTGTGCAAGAACAAGCACACACTTCTCTTCTGAATTGTTCACATCCTTCAACATGTGTCTGTACGGTTAATGACCGTTGGACTATTTTCTTTGTGTCGGGGTGGATTGAGAAATTCCAACTCGTATCCCCGGCATCATTTGAGCATTGGTAGTCATTTATGTTGAGCCAAGGAATATAGCCAAGGAATGTTGAAAAAAATTAATATTATAACTACATGTACCATCATGAGAACAAAATAGATTGCTTCCAATAGTGGTCATACATGCATTAAATACTGCTAGCACGAACACCCACGGCCACACACATCCACACACGTGCCCGAGAGTGCACACACACACACACACACACCATGTACCATGTATACGCCCGTCGCAAGAGAAGCACGCAAATCTGCAAATGCACTGGATGTGCACCCACAGATTTTCTCTTTATAGCAACGATAGCGGATCTGATTCTGATTGAAACAGATCAAGACAAGCGCCAGATAACTGTTTAATCCACACAACTGGCGAAGCCATGTGAATCGACCCCCCAATGCACACCTGGTCTACACCACACGGAGTACATCTGCATAGGACGGCCAAGACAGTCACCTATGCACACACACACAGACACGTGCGCGCGCTAAGAGTAAGGGGGAAATGAACCAAATCTATCTTGCAGGCGCTGGCGATGTGTTTGAACACTTCAAGCAAACAATCAGTGGCACGGGTACAAGTACATGTACACCATGTAGTGGTATGTATGGGTGTGCACTGGTGTGTGTGTGTGCGTGTGCGTGCGAGCAAGCACACATGTGCTAATGTGTGTTTGACCACCCCTCCTGTTATGTTCTGTAGGGCACAGAGCGCCAGTACCAGATCAAATGGCTGAACTACCCCAGCGATCAGAACACCTGGGAGCGTGTTTCCAATCTCAACTGTCCGCTGGCTCTGGCAGCGTACTCCGAGATTCTTGGCGAGGATATCAAGTTGCCTGAAGCAGCACTTGACGACAGCCAAGTGGAACGCCTGGTATCACTGCAGCAGAGGAAGGTGAAAGTCCTCAAGCAGGTGGAGGCGTTGAAGAGGTGGGAGCGACAGCTGAATGCATCACGGGGCAACGAGGAGCAGATCTGCGTGGAGAATCGCATTGACCTGGCCGGCCCACCAGACGACTTTACCTACATCAGTGAGTGTGTGGCCGGCAAGGGTGTCACCATCCTCAAAGACCCGCTCGTCGGCTGCACGTGCAGTAGAGCGGACCCTCTCGGCTGCTCAGCGGCGTCCGACTGCTGTGCGTCGCATGCCGGCGGCGCGTTTGCCTACAAGGACCGGCGTCTGGTGCTGGACGCCGGCCAGGCGGTGTTCGAGTGCAACTCGCGCTGCACGTGCGCGGCGCAGCGAATGCAGGCGCGCAACATCTGCGAGAACCGAGTCGTGCAGCTTGGACGTCAGGTGAGCGCACGCATCCCGTTGCAACCAGTCAGCTGCACTCTCCAGTACCTGCAGGGTTGTGTGTGTGTGTGTGTGTGTGTGTGTGTGTGTGTGTGTGTGTGTGTGTGTGTGTGTGTGTGTGTGTGTGTATCTCAACGGGGGGTTGGGGCATGTCTATGATGATTGAATACTTTACACTTTGAAAATCTCTCTTGTCCGAGCATGTCAGCAGAGAAGGGTGAGCGTAATTCACAACACTGTATATACTCGTATGTTCATCCTCCGGAAACAAATACTTTGTGACTTCCTTCAACATGTCAGTTCTTGTGAATTGAGCTCTGCGGAATCAGGCGATGGTGACTCCAAGTGAGATCCAAATGGCGCCGATTTCTTTTCTCTAGTATGTACACTCGTTGTCTGGAAGTGTTTTCGTTCTACTGGACCAAATTTCTTGAGCACAATAATTCCTGAGAATGTGAGTGAAAAGTCACGTTTTTTTTTTCAATTTTCGGAGGAAGTACACCTTGTGATACGTCTTATTGTGGGTAACTACATGCACGCACACTTTGAGTGTTGTGTGGCAGTAAAACATTACCGTACGGGCAATATATGTTGCCGCGTAACGCGTAATGCAGGGGGGTGCGGCGTAACGCGCGACCAGGCTAGTGCGACAAATTTTCGTTGCGTTCGTAACGCGCGTCCGGCGGGGTGCGGCGATCTTTTCATTGCAGTTTGCAAAAAATGATGCGGCAATAGCAAAAAAAATGATGCGGCAATAGCAAAAAAGTGATGCGGCAATAGCAAAAAAAGGACTGCGGCAATATAGAAACCTGTGTAACGGCTCCTGTGCGACTTTGCATGTAACGCCCTGCGTGCGGCAAACATGTGCCAATGTAACGCTTCATGGCCTCACTGCGACCATATATATTGCCAGTACGGTACTCACCGGTCCTAAAAGATGACCTGTATGGGTGCGGGGGGGGGGGATAAGGGTTTTTTCATGTACTTCTCAAATGTAAATACATTGTGTGTGCGTATGTGAATCAGTTCATTGAAATGAAGCTGTGACTATTGAAGTTTCTTTTCGCTCGTTTCTTTGTTCCTTTCCTGTTCATGATTGTCACCTGCAGGTGCCTGTCACGATTTTTCGAACACAGACGCGAGGATGGGGCCTTAAATCCAGCCAGAACATTCTGAAGGGCACCTTTATTACTGAATACGTTGGAGAGGTAATTTGTGTTGCTCCTGGTATGGGTTGGGAGGGAGGGAAGGGGGGGGGGGGGGGGGCAGCTGAACTGTGGACTCCCTGCTGCATGGCGTAGTGATGTGTGCTTATAACGCCTCGCCTACTCTCATCCCGTGCAGTTTTTATTAATTTTTATACAGCTGTCTACAGCATTGGGTTAGTTTTTATACATGTACTTGTAGTCATCAGTTAGACGCCAAGTCTGTTATGCTGTGTTGCCACACCTGCCGACATGTCAGTAGCCTGCCGATTTTTGAGGCATGTCACGACCTGCAGACAATTGACCTTCTCCTGCCGACAACAGCCATGAAAGTGTTCAAGTTTGACCTTATGCATGGTTTAGGAGTCGTGATCCAGATTTTTGACTTTTACTGCGCATCACGAGTGTTTCCATAGCTCTCTCCTGAGGCGCTAAGCGAAATCATCATGTCTCGGGGAAAAATCGGCAAACTCAGCCTGAGTGTCACACAAAACCATTAATGTTTTTTTTTCTTATCAGTGCCGCATGTGTGTGTATCGAGGTTGCTATAGGGGAGGGAGGGGGGGGGGGGGGGGGGGTCCGGGGGCAAAGCCCCCGGATGATGCATTTTATTTTTTCATGCTACTGATATTTGGCTAGAATGATGTGGCAACACTGGTTATGTAGGCGGTCGGAAATGTCTTCAGAAATATGATGATGGCTTCATAGTGTTCCTGCTATGCTGCGCCTGGGAGAAGTATCCTGAAAGTAGAATTGCTCTTCACCTCATGTTGTACACACTTGTATTGTGTGTATTTCTCCTCCGCCAGCTGGTCACAGCCATCGAGGCAGAAGAACGTAGCCCAGAGTATCAGTTTGAGCTCGACTTCACTGAGGAAAAGGCTTTCCAGTATGTTATCGATGCTAAGAAGATGGGAAGCGTCTCGCACTTCATCAACCATTCGGTGAGCAGGGACGTTTTATATGGCGACGGTAATGTACCCTAAACTTGACATGTGTGTAGCCTGTTGATGGCCTCCCTTACTTCAGGGCAGAGCATCGGCAATTGTACAGATGTGAATCGCCGCACAAGATGGAACGCATTGGTATTCTGAGTACTTTTTTTTCCTTGCTGGCACCAGTATGCTTGATTCTGTATGTTATTGTTGCCCATTGGTTGTCTCTTTGCTGCAGTGCGATCCGAATCTGGTTGTGCATGGTGTGTTCGTTGACAACCCGGACATTTCCATGCCACGCATCGGTCTCTTTGCCAAGAAGTTCATCCGTGCCGGTACCGAGTTGACGTTCGACTATTTCCTGTCACAGGATGCCTCATGCCATTCGCCCGGCCTAACACCGGTTGCCAAGCGAGTGAAGCCGCCGACACTCGCTGGGCCGCTCTCCCCCGTTCACCCATACTCGCCAACTTCATCGCCAAGTCGCCGAGAGCGCATTCCGTGCCGCTGCGGCGCGAAGAATTGCCGAGGCTTCATATATTGACGCTGCTGTGTGCGAAGCGTGACACGTTGTACGCAAGTCGTTGCGCGTGTGGATGTGCACGTGTGCACGTGTTGTACATTTCCATCGTTGTTGTACATGTTCTTGTAATTTGGTTGCTGTTCATGGCCAGTTTTTGGCATGCTTAGTTATTGCTGATGACATGTATTCATCAGCAATCGCTTCCCCTTTTCACGCTGTAAGCTCGTTTTTGTAGTGCATGGCCATCTTGACTGCCAAGCACATACTGAAAGAAATGGCCAAGAGGAATGATATAATGCCTTGCCTCTCCTCTCCCCTACATATGTTAAGCCGTTTGACATGTGTTGCATTTTATTATTCATTCCTCTATCGTCACTGCCATAGATGGTCTTGCATGATTCATAAAACCACACCATCCTCATTCCTCTTTTGAATGTCAGCCTCTGGTGATGCTGGCACACCTTCCATAATAGTTTGAAAACATGCAATTGGGCTTTTGGTGAACACTGTTTTGTAGATACTCTTTTTTATTATGCCAGTGATGCACACTTTTTACCTTCAAAGACTTTTGTTCTCCTTTTTTTCCGCACTGGTGTTCTCCGAAGGATTTTGCTCTCGTGTCTCGGTGCCTGGTGCTCTTTTCTGTGTTCCTTCGCCGCTTCCTTTTCAACCTTATCATTTGTCAGTGGCACTCGAGAAAGGGCTTCAATGGTAGCTCTAACTGTTTCTATTCTGTGTTTTTGGAGCACAGGTCATTTTGCAGATAACTGCTGTGGTTCAAACATCTTACTTTGGTGCCGTCTGTTTTGTTAACCTTTTGTTCATTTCTTTAGTACGCTTTGAGTGCGATCATGTGAACTCACTACTCGAACCTGTACGTAAAACATGACATTGTGCAAGTGTGAATAGGGCCCCTGTGCTGCGTGTGCGTGTGTCAAACTGTCGGAAGGCTAGTTGGTTGGTTGGAATAGTAACTCCAATTTCACCAAGGTACCAGTGCATCTAGTATCTGCTTCTATCAAAACAGTGTGTTGCCTACACTGGTTACCCCAGCAAGTGTAGGGTGTGCATGCTAGGTAACTGCCTTGGCCGATGTGCACCGTGTGGTGCTGACCAGGTGTGTATTGGAGGCGATTCTCATGGCTTCGCCAATTGTGTGGACTAGGCAGTTATCTGGCGCCAGTTTTGATCTGTCTCTTTCAGATCTTGTCCGCTATCGTGAGCGAGGATCTGTAGGTTCACATCCAGTGCATTTGCGTGCTTCGCTTGCGACGAGCGTATACATGGTGTGTGTGTGTGTGTGTGTGTGTGTTCCACATTCGGACTCCCCAGAGTAAGTGGGTGAGGGCAAGGTACATGTACAGAAAAAATAGATTGGTGGCATCAGGCTCTCCGTCCTGGGAGCATTTACCCCTGCCCCCTCAGGCTCTCCGTCCTGGGAGCATTTACCCCTGCCCCCTCAGGCTCTCCGTCCTGGGAGCATTTACCCCTGCCCCCTCGGAAAGTAGAGCATGTACATGTACTTGGTACCAGCAGAGAGGTTCGGAATTTCCGGTTTTCGACTGTTGCAGGTCAAATGTGGAGGTTGAACGTTCATGAGCTGCTCTGCACTCCTAAACGTTCTAATTTTGACTCTCACCACCTGCTTGTATGATTGGCAACTAAAACGGCGTCTGCTTGTAAAGATGAAAACAAGAAGCTGAGAGTTTCAACCCGATTGCCCGTGTCCGTTCAACTTTCTCGAAAGCTTGACTGCTCTGCTGACTCTTGAACTCATTCTAAAGTACCAGCATCTGTTCAGTGTTGGTTGACAAAGATGGCTAGCACAGCACACCTCCGAGAGTCGAACCCGATAGCATCAGCGGACCCAACCGCAATGCGGCATAAATGCACCCGTCAACCGGACAGAATAAAATACCGACAGAGACAGACGCGACACACACACACACACACACACCATGTACCATGTATACACTCGTCGCAAGAGAAGCACGCAAACACACACACATACACACGCAGCATGTACCATGTATACACCCGTTGCAAGAGAAGCACACAAGCAAGCACGCAAACACACACACACACACACACAGTAACGATAATAAGTAGGCACACAAGTTACTTGTTGCATGTTGAAGTAGTACCGCTCCTAGTATAATGAGTAAGTCGTTGTGAAAATAATGGGATAACATCGCTGGCTCATACTCGAGGATAGAACAAGGGAGAAGTTGATATTCGAGTCAATGAAAGACATGTCCACAGCCTACAGGAACAGCCTACAGGAACTAACTCAAGACAACAAACTAACAAAAGGGGTAAAATGAAATGCATACCGGTAACAAGTACCGGTACAAGTATTGTACGCAGATAAATCTAATACGCGGGAAAGGTAGAGGTGAATTCAAGCAGGTTTAATTTCAATGCGAGCTACCTTGCATTCACAGTCATGCATGCTGTGTGTGGGTATGTGTGTGTGCTTGTGTGTATGCATGCCAGCACAACAAAACACAAAACTGTCAACAAAGAGATATAGTTCCATATCAGTTATGCAGAAATCTGATACTCTCATTAGCCATTCTTGTTGCGTTACTGCAACAGCACAATTCTAAGAACTATCATTCGAAGTCAGTGCCAAATGGAATCTAAGTACTTCAACAAGTACATGACATGTATTGTAAAAATGAGAGAATAAAGTGATCTGTCAGCATGTAGCTAGTGAGGTGGAGGACAAAGAGGGAGAGAGAGAGAGAGTGGAAAAAGGTGGAAGCAAATATTGAGCAAAGATCATGTGTTTGTGTTCTGACCGCCATAATTGGCAAGACAACACCTTACTTGGTCTTGACGCTGTCATACAGTGGTTCTTCAATTTCCAGGCCTTGTATCTCGGATGCTTGCTGATATGTTCCATATTCACCAGATTCAGCAGCAGATTCAGCAGCAGATGCCTTCTGGTACAGTTCCAACATCTCACTTGGCCGCAAATAGCCGGCGTGATTGAAGTCCAAGTCGGTATGGTCTTCACGCTCATCCACAAACTCTGGTGCCGTAATACCTTCACGTCTAGGAGAGGGAAGGTGTTCGTAAAGGCTTGATGTTTCCTCGGGATCTTCGCAACTCAGGTCATTATCGGACGTGTTCTGCAGATGTGTTGGCTTTGCATACATACTCGGACTCGGGAGAGCACCTTTGGAGGTCTCTGATGTTAATGACTCCGCTGATAGAACAGTTTTAGAACGGAATGAGACACTTTCGTATATGCTGTCACAGTAGCTGTCACCAGAGAAAGTGCTGAGTATATCGATAGAAGGAAGCACAGCGGAGTTGGTAGGAGGAAGAGGAGGCGGCTGATCAAGACCACCTCCTGTCACCAGTGTACTTCTGAACTGGATTGGTATACTGCTTGTCGTGGCGCCGGCTGCATCAGTCGAGAATGTCTGCTTGAGGGCGCGGTGACCTTTCAGGGCAGACTGCTCGTTGTAACTCACTGTCCGCCGTTTAATGGTGCCAAAGTTAGCCTTCACTGGCCCATCAACCCACTCAGGATCTTCGGCGAAGAAATAGAGAGTGCTGGAGTCCTTGAATGCTTGGCCTCCTTGAACATGGGCAATAACGCCAGATTGATGAAGGTCGCGGCAGTACACCACAGCTTCTGGTCGCTGGTTGACAAAATCCTCGTGGAAGCGAGTCAGATAATTGACAAGCTCGGTGCCAGTAACACAGCTTGGGTAGCTGCGGCCGAGGTTAATACGTGACTTCAGCATGACGGTAGAATGGAGGCAGAGACGCTGGTACAAGTCACAAGCGGCCGTGTCAACAGGCTTTGCCGTTGAGGCTGCAGACACTGGCCTGTCCTGCTGCTGGGAGAGCTCATCTTGCCTGAAGCGGAACACAGTGTTGTCGTCAGAGAAGTCATGCTTATCATGAACGTGGTGGATGACGTCGTGTTTGACCAATGCTGTCATCATGGTGCTCGCCTCGCTACGAGTCATGGCATGCTGACCATCAACGAGCCAATCAACTACTTCCCGTGCAAGGAACGCGGAGCGGTAGTTGTGGATGCCCTGTCGCACAGAGCGCACAACTTCACTATTGTGCAGCTGCAGTCGCAGGAGCTCACCGAGCGACGTCACAACATCTGCAGGCGTAGAGTCTTGCTGAAGAGGCTTCAGCAAATCAGTATTGCACGGGCGATCAGTGCTGGATGAGGCATGCAGAGAAGAAGAGTCACCATCCCCGGCGGTCTTCAGGCTGCTTGCACTGATGCCCGACTTCAGTGGCGAGGTGAATGCACTATTAGTGGTGTAGACACTCTCATTGGAGAACATGCTTGCACTGGAGGCGGTGCGGCGCAGCAATGACCGACAGGCATTCACTCCCACACTGATTCCAGGGCTGATGCTCTCTGAGAAAGTGCCACTACTTCGACGACCAGCAGCTTCACCAGAGAAACGATAGAAAAGCATTTCGTCCCGGAACGGATGATCAGTGCACACGTGGCCCACTAATTGCTCTTTTTCCATAGAGCGCATTATAGCCAAGCCCTCCAAACGATTGGAAGCATAACCCTCATTGATAAGCCAGTCGACAACATCTTTGCCGATGAAACACTGTGGGTAGACACGGAACTTGTAGCGGCGGTCCTTAACAATCTTGTCAGCCTTCCATTTGAGGTGAAGAGCATTGGCAAGGGTGACGATTTCACTTCGCTGTAGATTAGTGTTGGCATTACCTGGCAGCGGTATGAGGCGGGGAAGATCCACGATACAGGTGGTAACATCAGACATCCGACGTGCTGCGGGGGTGACCGAGCTTCTTCTAGACAAGCTCCGTGGATCGTAGTCTTCACCGAGGCTGTTTGGCCCAGACTCTCCAGCAATGCCACACGACCTGGCCTCAGCGTCCGCTCGGAATGTATAGAGAGTGTCATCATCAGCGAAGTCTGCAACGATGTTGAGATCGTTTTGCGATATCACCAAGCCGTACTGGTATAGGTAGTGCATGATGCCAATAGCTTCAGTGCGGCTCATGTCCCCGAGCTTGTCCGTGGCTACCAGGCACTGAACGATGTTCACTGCCTTAAACGCAATTGTGCCCTCTGCTTCTTGGACTGATTCCGCTAAGCCGGCGGCATAGCAAGTGGCGAAAATACGTGCAGAGACCGTGACCATGTCGAAGAGTAAGCACCATCTATCATCGCCATCCATGCTAAAATCAAGGTACGAATCATCCTGTGATGAGCCATCAGTGCTATTGCTGCCTGCTGATTTCCGTAGCTGCAGGTTACATTTCCTTGTGAACTGCAACGTGCAAACATCAATTCCATCATTGCCAGGAGATGGCTCCAGAATGTCAACGAGGCCATATTTACGAAGGCGCTCCAGGGCTCGTGGTACCAATGCTGGCTTCTCGTCACCACTTTGCTCGAGGTATGCCTTGACAAGTTCATTCTTGTCATAGTAGCAACTGTTGCCAGCGTTATCTACTGGTTTGCAGTGCTGATTGGCAAGTGCAAGCAGCTGTGCACCGATATGCGCCTGAACTTCATACGTACACAGTGCATTTGCTACGGAGATGTTCTGTGCCCTCAGGAAGTTGAGAGAGTCAAGCTCAGGGTTGATCTCGCTCTGCTTTCGAGACGGACTGTCACACTTAAATCGGAAGAAGAGGAATTCATCCTTGAAGTGGTGCTCCTTGACAACATGGTGCACGAGATTGTAATCACGCAGGGTCTCCATGGCTGCCACAGCACCTGCGCGAGTATCGGTACACTTGGAATTGACTAGAAGCGACACCACTTCTTTGGCAATGAAGCAAACTGGATACACCGTACTGTCTAAGCCCCAGCGTCGACTGCGGATCATCTTCATTGCATGAAGCTCGCGATGCAGCCAATAGCAGAAGTAAATTGCCGCTGTACGATGAAGTGCTGGGTCCGAGGTTTTGGTGTCTGGGTTGAGTGCGGTGACGCAACACCACTGCGGTAATCTGCCCACACTGTTTCGCAGCCGAATTGAACCTGACTCCTTCTTGAGGAATGATAGTTGCCGCTTTATCTTGCTCAGATTCATGCCGGACTCTTCTTTACCCTTTCCTTGTGAAGGGGCCCAAACATGGTAGAGCAAGTCGTCATCTTCAAAGTCTTTGTTGTCATCAGCAACGGCAGAAATGTAACCTTGACTGTGCAGCTGCTTCATTGCCGCCAATGCTTCGGCACGTGTCCGCAAGTGTCCGGTAGATACAAGCCATGACAGGATTTCAGACGAGCAGAAGCAGTTACTGTACTTGCGCAGCTTTTGCCGGTGCTGCCTGACAAGGTCTGTACGGCGCAGCTGTAGGTAAAAAAACTCTGCAGCCTGGCCTGGATTAGCCTGGAGCAGTGCATAGAAGCCTGAGTCACCTACTTCACCACTGTCCATAGATCTCAGGTCAGCATCCGGAGATAAGAAGTCATTCTCCGAGGAGACCATGGTGTAACGACTATCAGCTGCTTGCCGAGGACATGTCGACATTTGGCTTTCGCGGACATCTGGCCAGCAGCAGCCGCCGCAACGACTCGACTCGGACAACCACAATTGTACAATGACCTGGCTTATTCACAAGATGCATATACATGTACGAGCAAATCTCTCAAGCTCGAGGAAGAAGAAATTATGATGCTCAGCATGCATTGTCAAGAATTTGAGAAGTACGGTACGGTACAATCCTAGAAGGACGCCATGTTGTTGTCATGCATATCGCGATATCGTGGGCGCATGATATGTCGACATCACACATGGACATGTCACACTCTCAATACACAGTATTAAACTAGTAAGTTTATCGTATGACCCCACCCCCCATATATGTGCACATATAACCAGGGGGTTAACTTTAAAAGGATATGACCCGGGTCTGGATGTCCGGGTATGGCTAGCCTATGGTAGATCTGCACCTTCCCGTATGTCACGTGATTGTCGCCTTGGAGTGGACCAATGACAGATGAAACAGCGCGGGCTGGAAAGCGCGGTCCTGCCTGCTCAAAGACAAAGGTGATGGAACTGGATCCACTGCCCGGGCAGTGGAATCCGTTCCTGCCCGTCGTCAAGTGACGACGGGCAGGAACGGATTCCAGTGCCCGTCGTCAAGTAACGACGGGCAGTGGAATCCGTTCCTGCCCGTCGTCAAGTGACGACGGGCAGGAACGGATTCCACTGCCCGTCGTCACTTGACGACGGGCAGGAACGGATTCCACTGCCCCGCGTCGTCACTGGACTGACTCTCTACGAGTACTTCATG